AGCACGTTAAACGGCCTTTGAAATCATGATATATCTATATCCTTGATTAGCCACATACTGAAAAGTATAATCTTGAACTGCATTCCGTAAAAAGTCACTTTTCATGTTCATTAGTCATTTAGTTTATTTTTTGCAAGGTGTAGGTCGACATATAAAGATTATAAACTTACCATTTGGGCAGGTAGGACAACATTGTCCTGGCATTTTTACAGAATCAACACATGGCACTATTAAACAGGCAGCTATAATTTCTTGGGCTTCTGAATTATTTTCATCACAATAACAACTATGGCAGTCTGATATTGAATGTGTTCCTCCAGGTGGTACTTGAGTACCATCAGAACATGTACACATAGCTGGTGGTGGTGGTGGCATACAAAATACAAGCCATGGTGTAACAACCAATAATACTAGAGAAAACATCGTGAGCCTAGATATCCTCTGAAGTGCAAGTTGTGTGTCAGATTCTTTGCAAAATCCTGCGTTTTTATAACGTGATGTGATAGAAATAGAAACATACGCCAAGATAAATCGTACACGTGTCATTTTTTGTTTATATTTTTATTCTTTAGATAGTCACCTCTGCAGAGCTAGTATTATATTTGCAAATATTGATATTATGCGTTTTACTAAACTACGTTCTAGGGCCATTATACATGGGTTGTGTCTACCTCCTACTCGAATTGGCTTTTTATTGGCTTCAGTCAAGCCATGCAAAGTATAATAGTTATAAGATTAAAGTTGCGACTAGACGAGACCGTATAATGTCTGGTAGTCTGGTACGGTATTTGCTAGTAGTATTTTATACTGCATTGAACAGGGTACAACATCTATTCTAACATTTCATGTTGGTGTATGATATTTTTATATATTTTTTTCTTCATAATACTTATTATGTCATTATCATATGGTACATACCAAATAAACTTAATGATGGAGAATATTGACTTACAGATATATAACGTAGTTATTGCAAGTTTGCAGAGAAGTCACAATAAGCGCTTGACACGTGTCAAAATATACATGTCGCTAGTGTCAAAGTATCAAAATTTAGTGTCGAAAACATATCAGAGAAACAATATATTAATAACTATAGGTTTTTATGTGTACTTTGAGTGGTAATCTAAATGAACAGGTCCAGGATGGCGAAATTGGAAGAGATACTGTAGTTGGGCTTATTCAGTTTAACTCTGTCTATCTTCATTATTTTAATAAGATAATATAATATAATAAATCACCTTATTGGCGAGTGGACAGTTTTCATGTACTGATTGACTGAATGCTATGAACAAGGTTGTCATATTTTTGTATGTGTCTCGTACTCTCACAAATAGCCCATACACTATCTTACTTGCTTGTTTACTGAAGGTATGTACATAGACTTTCATTGATTGGACATCTGATCTGTGCGCATAAATTTGTTGGGTTTTTATGTTTCTTCTGGTTAATTATATTTGAGTTTTCACTTGTTATATCGACCATGATTGGGTACCTTAACTGTAAAAATCTTTAAAGACTCTTAAGCGACTAATAAAGGTTTGGAATTGTATGGTTTGAGTTGACATGCATTGACTCAATTGTCAAGAATTGTGTGGAGCAGTCTCTAAGACTAATATTTTTTTAAGGTTAAAATTGCCAGTACATCCACATAGATCGCGTTTATACCACTGATGATTAATAACAGCTGTCATTGTTACTTTTAAACTTGTAACTATTATAATTATATTAAATGAAATGACCACAATGACTTTCCAAAGACAAATTGTGCCAAAAAATTTAGAGGTTATATGCCAGGACATGTTTATATAGTTTTAAAAATTACCGTACCATTCTATGGTTTCTGCTAAATTGAGATGTACATTGAGCTGCGGTTTTTGAGTAAAAGACCCAGAAGTATAGTAACAATGATGTAATTTTGTGTAAAATTTGTCCAAATTGTAACAACGCCCACTGTTTTTGTCCTCTCATACTTTTCAAGGACAACTGACCTCACCATTGGATAGTTTCACCAGTATTATTTTCATTGATTAGAATCCTCTGTGTTGAATCCTAGCATTGCACAAAAACACCTTCTCGATTTCTGTCTAAGATGAAGTCTTGCTCGTTGAGTGGAAGTTTTTTTTATTTTTTTGCAGCTGCAAATGATTGGGTCTACCAGCGCCAAATTTTTTACTTTTAAATAACTCAAATGCACGTGTGATTTTATACAAACAAACAACTTATGGAAAAAGCATTAATTGCAATAACGGTCTTCCATACTTTTGGCACAAAACAAATACTTAGTTAAGTTCGGCAATAGAAGCCCTGCATACCAAATACAGTTAAGATTATCAAATCCGACAGTAGCCAATGGTTAACTTTAGTCAAAGTACGGGCGCTGCATACGGGCTTTGTGTCGGCCTTCAATAATATTCATGTTTCCACATCGAATAAAAGTGTAAGCTCCAAAATTTATTTGTCAAAAGATCTCATACTCAAATATAGACAAAGTCTTTAAAAAATGTTTTGTGTGATTGTTATAGGTTGACCAATAGTGATCGGCACCGAGATAATAGGTGATCTTTTTCTTACAGATTTAAATCATTTCACTTTGTATGTAATGGGAGGTAATGATCAAACATTCTACTGAATATGTTTTAGACCACAAACATTCTTATAGAGTTTAGCTTCCATTGGTTTCTGCTTAGATGAGATGCAGAAAAACTTTGTTTTATTTTTAGGAAAAGATCCAGATCGATGATCGTCACAGAGAGAAAATAATTTGAAGAACAACATTGGCCATAGAACCGTTTGCACTTAATAATATTAATCTTAATTCAATTTTATTTTACCAGAATAACATAAATTAATTTTATTTCATATTTTGTATGCACCACAAAGAATAATCTTAAATGTATTTAAACTTTGACTAATTTTTATGGCATATTTTGAGGCATGTCTGAAATCGCCTTGACATGAGGACGAATTTAAATCAAGATTGCTACACGGTACATCTATTTTGTAAAATTGAAACATAAAATAGATTTTTCATCAAATTTCTATTTACATTGATTTTTCTTTCGGAGAGTAGGAGAGAAAGTATATATTAGATATATGATCATACTCGTGCTGATAACTGTCACAATAGCTACTCCAAGTGTCTGCACAATCTCTAGAGTTTCTGACTAGAACCTACCTACACTACATACAACAATGATAAAAATGTTCAATACGACATCTGTATTAGTGCCAAAGCTTTAGCATTCTAATCCAGACCTGACAGAGGCAACAGGCGACAGGCATACCGACTTTGTTTTGTGTTGCTTTCGTGAACATGACCCAACAGTGAAGTACATTTGTTCACACATCGCTATCTTAATGAGAAAAAATAAAATGAATGGAGTTTTACATCCTTCTGGTCTGCACCATGTATATCTTAACGAGACTAAGTCATCTCAACTTCTAAACATTTTAAACATTTCGTGTAATTATATTGTTTTCAATTTTACCCATGTTTAGATTGATTGTTTGTGTTGAACTTTAATACCACCTATACTGTGATATTATCGGTCATTTTATAGTTATACGTTTTACATTATCCTCTATTTTACCACTTGTATGTGTACTTTTATTTTGAATTAATCTAAAAAAGTTACATGATTCAGTTAATGTCCATGTCTCTGAGACTAGTGATGTCATACAACATACATTAAAAGGCTTTTTTTACCATATCATATTTAAGTCTCAGAAACGGGAATTCTTTAGAGGTTTAAAAAGACGAGTCATCTTTTTATGAGAGACACTGCATGTCATATATAAATGACATCTATAGGAATAGGAAAAGAAATTCCTAGCTTGAGATATTTATGAAGGAATGATGCGATTTTCGTACATTTCTAGTACTTCTGAAGACTATTTACATATGTTCGGGACTCAAATCAACCCCTTTAATCGTGTCTAGGTGCTCGTTTGGAGCTGACGCTCCTTAACATATTTCATTTCATTTTCAGTTGAATACAAAGTTACAATATTGTAAGTGCGAGAATGTCGGTAAATAGTGTTGACAAGAGTTATCCTGCTCAAAAACAGAACCCATTATTTTGAATTATAAAAAACTCCGAAAGGTTGAAACAGTTTTACTTATACATTTATTAAAGCAAATTACGGAGTTGATTTTTCTGCAATTACCGGCTCAATACTCAATACTTGTACACAATTTGCTTTTGGTTCTCCATTGTAATTTTGATAGTCGCATTGACATTCAGTTGAGTTGAACTTGACTACACCATCACTAACTTTGATAATTTCACTTCTTTCAACACCGTTATCATCTTTAAATTCAGCTCGACAGTTCTCTCCTGAAAACATATAATTTATTTATTTCTTCATATTACATCTAATTTATTACAAAAATCTCACACTAACAATATTAAGAAATCAAGATTGAATAACACATTGACAACACCAATAACATTGTTATGAAAGTTGTTATTTTGTTGCTGTTATTCCATCTTGCAAAAGAAGGATAGTACGTTTTTGATGTCCTACTATAGTCGATTTTCCTGTTTCTAATTGTTTTATTTGTGTACACAATTTTAATATTGTATGACAAGAATGTAAGTGAAAGTATTTAGTTGCTATTCTTTACTTTTTAATACTAGTTTAATATTTATTCAGCGAGATGTTCTAATTTATCGAACTGAATGTAGGTTGGTAGTCATTTGTTGTCACTAACGGCTAATGAAAGATACACTATCTTACCATTTGGACAGTTAGGACTGGTACGTTTACAGAATCTACACATGGTGTCATAAAACAATCAGTGAGCGTTTCATAGGCTTGTAAACTATCCTTATCACAAGTACACTCGTGGCAGTCTGTTATCCAAACAGTTTCTCCAGGTGGTACTTGAGTTCCATCAGAACATGTACACATAGCTGGTTGTGTAGTGGGTGGTGTA